TTTTCGTGCATGATGATTCAATAGGTAACGTACACCTGTAAATTGGCAAGAGAGAGTGCTCCGTGTAGAATTTGAAACGAAAAAGTCTACGGAAGAGTGTTAAATTTTCAATAACTTTCTCCGAAACTTGGGAGTCTTTCTTCACTCCAAGTTCATTTTGTTTTAAATGTATTTATAATTAATCTGACTGCCAATATAATGCTTCATATCCTGGGAATAAAATCCAGTTCTTTTCTGGCGTAGAGTAAGTTACAAAGTAATGTAGTATCGGGCTAGAGTGACCTGTACAATAAGATGAATAAGAATTCAGTACTAAATTTTGTACCAGTTTTGACCACAGTCGTAAGTGTTAGCAATTAAAGATGGCTGAACTTTTTTTTTTCAGAGTGTTGTTTTGTGACACCGAACATGGCAATCTCAGCAGTAGGAATTGTGAGGAATCTTTCAAGGTGGAAGCCATCTCCATGGCAACGGGGACATCTCATGCCCCCGCTACTACATACCCATCAAGCCCTCCATTCTTCTAGCAGGTTGCTGGCGAGTCAGAGTGAGTACACCCACATTATTGTCGGTGCTGGGTCAGCGGGTTGCGTCCTGGCAAATAGGCTCAGCGCTGAGCCAGCCAACAAGATCCTACTCCTGGAAGCCGGACCCAAGGATTTCTCCTGGAAGATTCGCATGCCGGCCGCTTGGCAGAATGCAATCCTTTCAAGTTCTTATAACTGGCACAATAACACATACCCTGAACCCCATTTGGGGAACAGAGAAATCTATATCCCTGCCGGGCGTGTCTTTGGTGGGTCCTCATCCATCAATGTAATGTGCTACGTCAGGGGGCACGCTTTAGACTTCGACCGCTGGGAGAAAGAGGGGGCTGAGGGTTGGTCCTACGCAAACTGCCTGCCTTACTTCCGTCGAGCTCAAACCCACGAGTTTGGACCTGATGAGTATCGAGGTGGTGATGGTCCGCTTCATGTTTCCCGGGGAAAGTCTAAGAACCCACTGTATCAGGCTTTCATCGATGCAGGAGGACAGGCTGGTTATTCCGCAACGGATGATGTGAATGGCTACCAACAAGAAGGCTTTGGGTATATGGACTTCACCGTCCATAAAGGGGTGCGATGGAGTGCTGCCAGTGCCTATCTTCATCCAGTTGTGAAACGCAAGAATTTGACAGTCACCTCAAAGCTTCTTGCGACCAGGGTGCTCTTTGAAGACGTCAAAGCTGTCGGTGTGGAGTACTTAAGCAAAGATCAGATAACCACAGCTCGAGCATCCCAGGAAGTTATTTTGTGCGGAGGCGCCATCAACTCGCCTCAGCTACTGATGCTGTCGGGTATTGGTGATGCAGATGAGCTCAGAAAGCACAACATTCCCGTCGTTGCACATCTTCCAGGCGTTGGACAGAACCTTCAGGATCATCTGTGTTTATCCCTACAGTATCAGTGCACCCAGCCGATCACCCTGTACCCAACACAATTCCCCCACAATAAGATCCTCATCGGCTCACGCTGGTTGCTGTTCCAAAGTGGCCTTGGTGCGTCGCCTCATTGTGAAACACTTGGCTTCATCAGAAGTCAGCCTGGTGTCGAACATCCCGACATCCTGGTGGAGTTCCTTCCCACTACTTTGGCTGAAGATCCAAACAAAAGAGGTGACTGTCATAGTTATGAGGTATGCGTTCTTTCGTTGCGACCCTCAAGTAAGGGCTTCATCAAACTGAGGTCCAGCAATCCCCGGGAACGCCCTATCATTCAGGCCAATTACCTGGAGACCGAGATCGACCGGGAGACCATGAGGCAGTGCATTCGCCTTGGACGTAAAATCTTGCAACAGCCGGCCTTCGACCAGTATCGCGGCCCTGAAATCCAGCCAGGCGCTGCAGCCGAGAGTGACGAAGATCTTGACGAATTCGTCCGGAAGACAGGACGAAGTTTCTACCACCCATCATGCACTTGTAAAATGGGCAGTACCTCTGACCCGATGACGGTCGTGGACAGTCAGACGAAGGTACTAGGCGTAGAGAATCTGAGAGTCGTCGATGCATCCATCATGCCCAGCATTGTCAGTGGGAATCTCAATGCTCCAACCATCATGATTGCAGAGAAAACTGCTGACATCATCCTTGGCAAGGAACCACTGCCAAAGTCAGCTGCAGCTGTGTATCAACCAGCAACCTTCTAAACTCAACATTAACGAAACATATAATATTTTACCGAATCCTCGAGAACTTTTGACAACTCCAGCACCAAGAATTCAATCTGTATGGTGACGTTGCTTAATTTTCGGAAATCGACTGCCGTGCAGGAAACCAACAGTATTATATCTTGGGGGCGACTCATTACTTGCGTGTCAAAATAATGTACTATACGAGAAACGTTGTGTAGGCCTGTCAGAAGTTTGCTTTGCCGTGAAGTTATTCCTAACTTCTGTTGAATTAATTCCTGGGAAGCGGACACTTAATGTCTGTGTCCCTCATCCATGTGTTCACGACGATTGAAGAAACCAAACTAAAAATCAGAAGAAACTGTGGCCCATTGGACAACACATTTTGGACATTGTAAAAAAACAAACGGCCCACAAAGCAGCTTTAGCAGTTGTATATGCAAAATTGTAAAATATCATTAAAACGCTGGTAAATCCATCACAAAGTCATAGCTAACGGGCAAGCTGTAAATAGATACTAAGAATAAACACATATCCAACTCTTCAGCCGCCAAAAAGTTCAACAGTTTAAGCAGAATCGCCTGGTAAAAAATAAGTGGTGTCGTTGTACCCCTTTTGTAGAAACGCAAGCTTGGAATTCAGGTATTCTTAGTTTGATAGTTTTAAGCCCGTACTGGGCTTCTCGAAAAGTTATCTGCCATGATGATGGGAATTTTCCACGGCCAGACCCATATGCACGCATAGAAAGCAATGTCTGTATTGACACATCACTGAGATAATTTAACTGCGACGACACATCTCATTAATTGCGCTTCATATGACTATATATGTAAGCTTCCAATTCCATGCTGCAATGCTTTTTTGAATTTGCAATCGCGGTAATGAAGAATGCTTAAAGGTATTTTGCACTTAAAAACTATTTTCCTCGTAGTAATCAGAACGGTTACCTTAGAATGCAGCTTTCTTTTATCACTGTAAGAATTTTAAATATATATTTTACCTGATACTTGTTAATATCCGTAACGGGATTATTTTCTTCCAAGGTGGTGGATAAAAGAGGGTCTTTGATTGGACATCAAATTCTTTTCTCACAATACCGTGAAAGGATGCCATGGGTACAAAATGTGTTATCTGACTGATGTTCAGGGCATGCAGGAACTTATGTTAGCGACATCCACTTACACTAAAACTGAGGCGTCCAATTCCTTTGAATGAAATTGAGAGTTTCTGAATGCCTCCAAATCTTTCTTTGTTGCTCATATGAAAACTTGTTAGTGGATTTTGATTTGACTGACGTCTCACATTTTGAGGTTTGCACGTTGAGCATACCCCCCCCGGTTTTAGTTTCTTGATCGTTTCTGTAAAACATTTTGCCATTCAGTTTGGCTTTGTGTTTCCGAGGCTTTTCCGTCGGTCGAAAGCGTTCCTTGCAACATACTTGTTGTTCTGCTCACTGGAAATGCGCCTGGATTACGTAATCACATACTTTGCTTGCCAAGGAATGGCAGGTCTTTAATGAGATCTTTAGGGCGCGTCTTATTTGTTCACCAACCACCCGTGGCACGGCACCTCTGGAGTTGTTCTCGCTACGAACTTACACTGTAATTCTGATTTGGTGGTTATTCCGTCGTTCGTGGGAGGCACAACTTATCAACTTATGAATTCAAGAGTTTTGGTGAGTATAGGTACGGCCAATATCGATTTCCTCAAAAGAAAAGAATCCCAGAGATCTGGCAGGACCACGTAACAATTTTTGATTAGTTTGCGAACAACAGCTTCTTCGTCATGTAACCAGAGGACTTGTCTCCATTCGGGAGGAAGATTGCACTTTATGCATAAAGCTAACACAATCTGACTTAAATTCGAACTTCCTTTTTTTTTTCGTTTTGAGCGGAACCAAATTTGTGTAGTGGTACATGTATGTTCAGAAGTCAAGTCAAAGTTCAGACAGTTTTTGCGTCAGTTACATTATTAATCATATCCTGAACTGACTTGCCTAGGACAAAACTCGTGGGAACTTCCGATTGAAAAATAAGAAGTTGAACCCCATGAATAAGCATTTTCAATGGCGTATATACATGTAGCACACTTGGATCTTGTAACGCCGTTTAAGTTGAATTGTCAATTAGTAATTCACAAATTACAGTTTCTTAAAAGTATTAGGGTACATCAGATTAAAATCCTCACGTAGAGAAGATACTGGTTACTCTGCGACATTAGTTGGGATGTCGAAAACACACTTTAAGCGAATGGTTCAGTAATTTGGGAGTGGCTTTCTTACAGACTAATCCGATTAGACGCTGTAACCAAGGTGCCACTGTACTCGCACGCGCATTCTTCAGCTTGACACGCACGTGCGTTTGGCAAGTGACGACACCCTATTGGTATAGGAGGCATGTAACGCGCGCGTACCACCTGTCCACGAGCGCTGTGCCACCGTAGTAATGGCTCCTAATTCTGGCTATCGAATTACACTATACATGCGATTATGGACATCATTGCGAATCGAGTTATATGTAAACCCCCAGTTTTTAATCAAGTCCGGGGCGTGCTAATTAGCACTGACCAATCGCAAATCGTCATAATAAAGGGTGACACCATAAACAAAGAGTAATATGTGGAGTCCAGTTTGACAGTTAAGTCTATGCATTCAGTGTTTACGGTTTGGGCAATAATTATGGGAAGTATATCAGATCAAATACTTTATTCTTCATTGCATTGATTATTCATACCAAAAAAAAATAATAATTATAAAATGTTTGTTTTTTTTTATAGTAAATTGATTATGGAACAATGAAAGTCACGGTCAATTCACCCAAAACCGATAAAGCATATCAGATAAATATGGATTTGTTTATTGCATTGATTAAAGCAACAAATAAGCTCAATTTTAATTTATCCATAAGCAGCCAACAATATCAGATCAAATAAGTTTAAGTTTAGTGCATTGATTATGCAACAATTACACACCAGGTCAATTCACCCGAAACCAATAAACCAGTCAAATAATCAAAAGGCATTTCCTAAAACAAACTTACAATGCAATTTAAACTGCAACATTAAACTCCACATTTGAATGACATTATAAAACCAAGTTTTGAAAAGTGAAACGATTGAGCTGGAATTTCTTTGACGGCCAACGTTAATGAAGCTGCTCGGGCAGGAACCAGTTGCAGCACACGTACATCATTAGGTTTTGGCTGGTACCCTGCTGTTGCTATGACTAAATTCTTCTTTGTTCAACAAATGAGCGTTCATAGCAAGTCCAATGAAACGACGACTGTCAAGCGTGGACTCTCTTGCCAGTAAAGTCGCGTCTAAAATGGTCACTTACGTTTAACGTCATGGCCACAGTAGCTGTGGCAAAAAGGAAAGGTGTAGGTCAAATATATGCCATTCAGACACTACATGTACATGCGTAAAGCAGGACTTTGGAGCACTTTGGCAGCTTCATGTGCACATATTCTCATCTTTCCATATTACTTTTTTTCACAAGAAAACATAAAAAATGTAGGCACTCTCTGAAATGCACATTTCCGTCGACTCTGAGGTAATTAGGAACATACATATTCTGCAACTAAGCCGACAAATGTCACTAAATGAACTAAAATAAAAAAGTTTTTCTTCATCCTTCTGATCCAACAAACTTAGACACAACTTAGTCACATCCATGTATATTACCTTTGGTTACTCGTTTGGCATGTATCGAATCAAAATGCGACACACGGAAAGGAAACCATGTTAAAACCTTTATAACACGTTAATGAATGGACCGTTATGTTAACTGATTTATTGATAGATGATAAGGTGCCGATAAAATCCAGTTAAATCAATCACATGAGGTACCAGCAAATTTCATAAAAACATCAAACACACTGAAGTAATTGTGAGAAGGGTTACTGGTACATCCCCCCCAAAAAAAAATCGTCAAGGAATGTTCGTCATAAAAAATTCACAGATGCCAAATTAAAACTTGACTTCTTAAAGAATACAATGCAATACAATTCTTTGATCTAAAAATACGAAGAAAAAATGTTTCAACGGCACAGATAAAGGCGTTAATTGTAAAGTATATGAATAGTTAGGAGTTTCATAGTTTTATGACCTTACACGTACCAAAATGTAAATTTCTTAGGAAATCGAAATACTTACAAAATACCTTAAAATGTGATTTATAAGCTGCTCTAGAAATCAACTAAATACACGTGCAACCATCCCAAGGAACAAATTTGGTTGGCGACCCATTTTTGGTAAAACAATTTTTTTTCGAACTTTGACACCGTTGATGACAAAGACCGCCTCCTGTTAAGCAACCTTGCAGATGTCACTTATCCGGGGAAACAAGTACATGAGATGAAGCTTCATAAAACAGGTATTCAAGATTCCTTTTCGTAAAGGATGAACTTACTGAGACGTGTACAAACCAAGCAACCATGAGAAGTTACACTGCGTGTACATGCAAAATAAGTGTACATCAGGTACCAAATCCCTATATAATCGTTAATTTAATCAATTAAAACCCCTTCACACCAGGAGAGAGCTACAGCCGCGGACCTGCGTGAGGACTGGTGCATACCACACGTACACTCTATTTATCGTGCACCTGCGGTTTCAATGTAGGGCTGCTGCTAGACAAGGCTTTGCATTCTGGACATACCGCAGCCCAGCACTCGCGGTCAAAAGAATCCCGGCGTTAAGGGGTTCGTGGAAGCACAGAATTTCTTAATTATTTGCTAGATATACATAAATATACACATAAAATGCACAGTATTTATCTTAACGAATGCTTGACATTTTTATTTAAGAAAATAGCATCGCAATGTCAAATTTTACAAGCTGAAAAACTTTGCAACTTCTTTAAGGTACACTTGTAGGAACACAAAAAAAAGGTCAAGGAACATGCTGACAGTGAAAACACCGAAATTACTTTAGTAACGGAATGCAGCATTAAGTTAAAAGCCACAATATTTAGATAAAATGTGAATACTGAAAACAAGACAGCCTCGGTGGACATCCATTACAAAGAACAGTACAATGTAGAACACTCTGTGGTGAATAAGTGCAACATGAAATGCTATTACAGGTGCACATTATTTAGACAAACACAAATTCTCCAAACCAAGCAGGCTTTGTTGACATCCAGTACAAGGTGTACATGTAGTACTCTTGAGATGAATAAGTGCAAGCATGTACTGTAAGTATTAAATAAGAGGTACATGTATGAACATTTGGTAAGATTTTAGGATGAACATCCCCATAGAACAGCTAGATGATACCGGTAAGAGATGGACGTTCAACATTGTGAATACATGTCTATCTTGGGGAGTAAAGGGGGCATTAGATGTTTTGGCATACTTGTACATGTATTAACGTTGAGTTTCCAAGGTTGCAGGTTGGTACACAGCTGCCTTCGACTTTGGCAGTGGTTCCTTGCCAAGGATGATGTCAGCAGCTTTCTCTGCGATCATGATGGTTGGAGCATTGAGGTTGCAACTGGGAATGCTGGGCATGATAGATGCATCAACGACTCTTAGATTCTCTACGCCTACAACCCTTGTCTGGCTGTCCACGACCGTCATCGGATCAGAGGTACTGCCCATTTTGCAAGTGCATGATGGGTGGTAGGCACTGTCCCCTGTCTTGCGGATAAACTCGTCAATATCTTTGTCGCTCTCGGCTGCAGCACCTGGCTGGATTTCAGGACCACGGAATGGGTCCAATGCCTTCTGCTGCAGGATTTCCCGAGAAAGGCGAACACTCTGCCTAATGTCGCAACGGTCCTTCTCTGTTTCCAAGTAGTTGGGCTGGATGGCAGGATACTCCTGGGGGTCTTTGGACCGCAATTTGACGTAGCCTTTGCTCGTGGCTCGCATTGTGCTGACGTGGACCTGGTAGGCATGGCAGTGGCCCATGATTCGTCCATGGTCAATCACAACCGATGGGAGGAAGTGGAACTGGATGTCTGGGTGATCCACCCCCGGCTGACTCCTGATGAAGCCACCTGCTTCCAAGTGGGGCGTAGCACCAAGACCGCTTTGGAATAAGAACCAGCGCAAGCCGATGAGGATCATATTGTGGGGGAACTTCCACTGCGCCGTGTATAGTGTGATTGGCTTGGTGCATTGATACTGCACATATAAATCCAGATGGTCCTGAAGGTTCTGTCCAACTCCTGGAAGATGTGCAACGACGGGAATATCGTGCCTTCTGAGCTCATCAGCATCACCAATACCCGACAGCATCAGTAGCTGAGGTGAGTTAATGGCGCCTCCGCACAAAATGACTTCCTGAGATGCTCGTGCGGTGGTTTTCTGACCCTTCTTTAAGTACTCCACCCCAACAGCTTTGGTGCCTTCAAACAGCACCTGGGTTGTGAGAAGCTTCGAGGTGACTGTCAAATTCTTACGTTTAATGGCTGGACGGAGGTAGGCATTAGCAGCACTCCATCGCACCCCTTTATGGACCGTGAGGTCCATGTACCCGAAGCCTTCCTGTTGATAGCCATTCATATCATCTGTTTCAGGATAACCAGCCTGAACTCCTGCATTGATGAAAGCCTGATACAGTGGGTTCTTAGACTTTCCCCGGGAAACATGAAGCGGACCATCTCCACCTCTATACTCATCTGGTCCAAGTTCGTGGGTTTGAGCTCGACGGAAGTAAGGCAGGCAGTTTGCGTAGGACCAACCCTCAGCCCCCTCTTTCTCCCAGCGGTCATAGTCGAGGGCGTTTCCTCTAACATAGCACATTGCATTGATGGACGAGGATCCACCCCAGACACGCCCACGAGGCCAATACATCTTTCTGTTGTCCATGTGGGGTACTGGTTCTGTGGTGTAGAACCAGTTATAGGTGTCCGAGGTCAGAGGGTACATCAAGGCAGCTGGCATGTGGATCTTCCAGGAGAGATCCTTAGGTCCAGCTTCCAGGAGAAGGATCTTGTTGGTTGGCTCCTCACTGAGCCTGTTTGCCAGGACGCAACCAGCTGACCCAGCACCGACAACGATGTGGGTGTACTCGCTCTGATCAGCCTGCACCCTACATATACTGGAGATATGAATGGTGCGAAGGATGTTGTGTTGCCATGGCATCGTCCTCCATCTTTGAAGACTCCTAACAAGAGCAATTCTGGACACATTCATGCTGGGTCATACGAAAGATCTTCCTGAAAAGAAAATGACATTAATCTGTATTTCAGCATACATCTGTATATGTACATGTAGAACAGTATTTTAATCAACATTCATGTCAAAATGGATTTTTTAAATTTGATCTTTAACAATGTGTTTTTAAGATAAAAATGAAGTCACTTTATTACATTTCCGAGGCAAAACACCAAATCTTTGATCCCTTTAGTACATGTATCTGAACCAATAACTGTTAATAATTCAAAGTTTACATGTGGAAAACCCACTGCCTACATGTACATGTACATACCCTTCACTTTTATCAAACTCATACATGTAGATGGTTTTCTGTGGGAGGTGAACGACTGGAGAAGAACAAGTCAATATTACGGTACCTTCCATTTTTCTGACGAAAACTTGCAAAACTTAACAACAAAAATCTTCATCAATACAAGTAACCTGGGAACAAGCAAAGCCACCATGGTACAGCATGGGAATGGAACTACTGTACATCAGCTGGCCTATTTTGGTTTAGGTTAAAAATGAAAAAAAATACGCTTCTTGTTTTCCCGACCTGCCCTATTTTGACTGAATGACCCCAAAGTCTTTTGGGGAAAAATTTGTGGAAATCTGATATTGGAAGAAAGAATAAAAAGTGTCTGCTGTACTTGTACACATACATGTGCGTGGTTTGAATGTGCATTGTACATTTTTATGCATGCAGCCAGAACCCTTTAGAGTTGTTTATTTCATTTTTAAAGACAAATGCCAACCAACTTCTCTTGCTGTGAAATGTTTCCAGTTCACACAGTTTCAAACTGAATCAGTATAAAAATGCTGCAAAAAAAAGGAATAATTTTTCCTCCCTACCCAACCTGTCTTCAGATGCCATGTAAGGGGAAAGCATGTAGTTCTTTGAACCTTGGGTTACAAGTACTGGTAATTTTAGGGTACTGTCAAACAGAGAAATATGCCGAGGAAAAAAAGTTAAAATCTTGCAACTGCTCCACAGCTGACTTTGGCAGCATTTTCTAAATACAGGTAGCATAATTAATTATTAACCCAGGCATATTTCTCTGTTTGACGGTACTCTAAAATTAATCCCTGGTTCCAAGAACTATGTACGTGTATAAATTTAACAGAAAGCAAAGGTCAACTGTGAGGGACCCCAAAATGGTCTGTTTTCTGCTGTACAGAGTTGTATTTGAGTCCCTCACAAGTCCTTTCACAAATAAATGTATGTAGTTCTTTGAACCAGGGTTTAATTTCAGAATACCATCAGAATGCCATTAATACCACATAAAAAAGCTGACTTCCCACGACTAATCTACAGCTGACTTTGGCAACATCCCCTTAATAAGGCCAGTAGCACACAAGTATGAATGTTAACTCGGGAATGGGAAATTATTTTATACTGCACTGTATCTCTTTCCAGTGAATTCATTTTGATTTCACAAAATGAGAAAACAATTTCCCACAGTGGGAAAACATTTTCATCCCTTTTCACATGGGTGAGAAATATTTTAATGCCTTGTGAAATATCAATGTGAATGGGAGCAGGTACCCTTTAAAAATTTCTCATTCCCACTTACATGTAGAGTGTTGACTTTCAGCAGCAAATTAAAGCATGTGGGTTTACAAAATATGGCCCTGATCTCAATACATTTTTTCCCATCAATACCTTTCTAATTTTTCAGGTCCACTTCCTTTGCTGCAAGTTTGCTGAAAATTTTCGATGAAAAAAAAGTTTGTTTCAAAATTAACCGTGCTGTTTACCACAATTTAAAAGAAATGTCACAACATCATTGGCCAAGTGAATCGCATCTGCAATGAGATGGAAATTCTTCCTGAAAAGTTTCTGGACAGTAACGGGGGTTACTGTACAAATGTACATTTCAGGGTTCCTGTTGCAATAATGCTGCACCCACCCTGGGATTTTATGACCCTCAGGGCTTGAGAAAAGCTATATTTTGTCATAGATATCAGCCATCTGGAAATTTGAGTTATGCATGTACCTGTATATGGTATTTTGATGGGTTTTTGAAGCAGCAGGGGGCTCCTAGACAATAAACATTAATTCATGGGCACTAATGAAGCCTTGTGTCATGTACATGAAGGCCTTTTCATTTCAGTCAGTTACCTGATCACATGTTCATTGAATTTGACTTTAAACTATTTTTGTTTGGCAAGTGGAAATAATTATAGAATGTATTCTACATGTACATGTGTAAAACCATATGTCGGATGTGGCATATTTGGAGAAAAAAAATTGGACTCTACATTTATAAAATTACCAACAAATCAATTGCCAGCCAGAGTGACATTTTGAACACATTATTTGCATCTCAGACATTGTCAGGTGGAGTGCGCCAACAGGTTGTTCACTGTGACCTTAATTACCACTGGCAATGACTGCAGGTTATATTTAGTGATAAAAGGGCCCACCTCTGAGTGTAGATGTACATGTATTCTCATCTAACTGAATATGGTAAAGTTTGACTTGGGTGAACCTGATAAAATGTGTACTTCGGAATCTTGTGTAGTTTCGCCTGAGTGCTGAAACCTTATATTACATGGATTCTGCACCTCTCCCTATTGTGCTTAAGACCTGCGTTAACTCTGGCTAACTGAGCTGATGAGATGCAACTGCAAGGCTAGCAGTAAAAGCACAAAAAAATCTCGGTTGGTAATTGCAGACATGTGCTGGAGTCCGATTTACTCACTAACGTGTGAAAACTGCCACCTGTATGGGCAGGATTTTCTACATCATGATTTTGGCTTGCAATGATAAGTAGAGTGTTAAATTGGTCCTGCTAAAACATTTATCACTTTGTATCTCAAACATGGAAAAAAAGACATCCCTAGAGGCATTGTACAGAGCAGGTGCACCAAGAAGCTGAAATTCAGAGTGAAATCTAAAAAAAAAACAGCCCCAATCGGCCGAAAGCTGAATTCTCACACTGCTGCATGAAGCAAGAAACATACATCATGCAGTACAGCAAGCATTTAGAACACAAAAGAAGGCTATCACTGAAAGTCTTTTGTGACAAATTGCTTTTTGAATACCTGAACTGGAACTGAAGAATAACTTTATTCTAAATGCATTTGTCAGATTTTCTCTATAGTCTGGAGGTGTTTACCACTAATTCCTGAACGGAGGATGTGCCAGTCTGGAGTGAGCCCTTTTTGTTAAAAGTTCTCTTTGTGGAGGAGCATTGGTTCACCAGCAGTACACCTATAAAAGCTACATTGTATTATCCTTCAGGTTGGACAGTGAGGAGAAATGTTCCTTTTTAACCATCAAACAATGCCCATTAACTGGGCAACAGTTTTGCAGAGCGATTAAAACTGACTGTAGACTGTTGTTTCTGAACTGTTTGTATTTTGACCTCGTTCCTTAATTGGGCAAGGAGATTAGTAAAAAAAAATCACATTTGAAAAAATCCAACGTACGCACTTTATTAGACAGCTCATTTTGTAAGCGGGAACTCCAGGAAACATGCCCAGTGTTATGTTAAACACTTGCCGGTTTACAAAAATTGCCAGTTAACCTTCCTGTACAAAGTCATACTTTAGATACATGTACGTGTAGCTGGATACGTGTAGCTTTCCAGGATCAGACAGACAGATCACCGACAGGTCAGGTCAAGTCGGGGCAGCACATACATGTATGGTAAAACTCATGTTCATTCCACGTTACACTAAAAGCCTTCTGAGCTCCATACAGGAAGTCACTATTGTTGAAACTTTATTACGTTGCATTAGACTAAATATTGTATGCGCCCATAGAAAACAGTGCAGAATTGGACAGAAACAGTGCCTGCCGCCTGGTGACTCTCAGGAGCAGGTTGACCTCGCATGTGTCACTGGAAATGCAAGATTATGGCAACAAGTTCTGTTTTCTTTTCAGTTTTGTAAGGGAAACCATGCAATGTTTATTCTTCATCGTTTCATGAAAAAAAAAACCATGTAAATGTAGATAGACCAGTAGTAGTCAAACCGTGTCCTCAGATCTTAATTTACATGTAGCCGCCTGCCACTATGCAAACAGGCCCACAAGCTGGAAGTTTTTATGAACCCTGAGTTGAAATCCACACAAGTCCTGTACATACAATGATACATGTATCAGTATGGCAAACATAATCCATGGATCCAAACAATTAATGAGCACCTGCATAGAAATCTAGCGATTTACATTAGGCCAAACAAAAAATTAGTTGTGTTTCCTATTACACTGAAAACTAAATTAGGTTGGTTGGTTGGGTAAAATATTTTTTTTTTACTCTAAATTTTTATAGCCTAAAACACTAGGGTCAGATGATAGTCTGTATTTTTTTTGGCGGGGGGGTGTATATTTGTAACAAGTACTAAGTCAGTGTCAGATTCATACGGCACATATGCATATCAATATTACATATCAGCACGTCTATTGAGTAGTAAAGTGGCTGGTTGTTGAAATACTAACACACAAGAGCCGTCCATCTCATACAAAAAAAAAATTAAAACAATGCTATGTACAGGACGAGGTTTTAAAAATTAGGCTCAGGGCAAGGCACCATAACTTTTATATTGTATTGATTTGTCGAATAAAAAGACATAGGTTCCGCGTGATTTTCTAGGTTAGGTCGGGTCTCCAGAAACACAGGTATTTTTTGTTTGGCCTTATGGAATGCACCCTTAACCTTAACCCCCTGCTGCAGGCTCTTGCATTAGAGAACATTCTGAAACCAACAAACTCCAACAGATACTGTGTATTTGTACATGCATGTCACTGTACCCAACCCGATAAACACAAACTAAGTGACTCGTTACAGTTTGAGCGATATGGTAAGGATGGGTCTATACAGTGTAGGATGACTTGCACTGCAGCAGTACCAAACCCGACAAACTCAAGCATAGTCCAGCAATTGGCACAGCAAGCCTGACACTGCACACAATGAACCCTGTGTGTCCAAACTTGCACAAAATCCAACACCATCACCCTGGGCCTTTGATACCAAGTCCAATGAAATTCAACAAAAAGTTAATCGGGTATAGTATATGTACCAAACCTGCTTAAACCTAGCAAATCTTGCTGTTTGAGTTTGATGGACAGTGGGCAGTTAGGGTTCAACTGCCCTCATTCTCAAATCTAGATTTTCTTGCCACAAACACTTTACATTACAAGTGTTTATAACCCTCCCAAGGGTGTTAATGCAGTATCGACTCAGAAAGGAGCAAGCATTGCATTGCCCCTTTACACTCAGGAATTTCTTCTAAAAGTGTTGTTTTTTTCTTTCAGACCCTTTGCTCATTTTTCAGTTTGCCGGCACCTTTTTGTCACGATTGGAAAGAGACGGAACAGAAAAAAAGATTAAATAGGAATATTAGGACATTGTGGATTTTGAGACTTTTATTTTTGTTTAGTTTTTAGTTTTCCAGTTTTTTAAAGGATTTTTAGATGTTTCATTTTGTTAAAATG